GCTTTCAGGATTTGTGTTGGTTGCCAGCAAGTTACTTCATTAAGTTACAAGTTTTTAAATAATTGAAAACTTGGGGAGCAGTCTTCTCCATATTTTGATTTTTTTTTTTTCTTTCTTTGCTAAATGGCTGCCTTCTGTGAAAATAATTTTTCTGTATTTCATGCTTTTTGTTTAGTCTAACAATTGGTATTTCAGCCAGTTGTTTTCCCCTTTCCATGTTTCTTTAAAAACACAAACAAACCCTCAAGTGGGCTGTTTTCTTTACTCCTTTTCTGTGTGTATTTGAATACAATTCTTTGTGCTACTAGTCTCACAGGTAAGATGTAACAGAAACAGAAATCTTTAAAAATGGGGAAAGCTTATAGAAACCAAAGAGATCAGATCAGGGGTATTACTCAGTTCTTGGAGGAGTATGCAGCATGAGGTCACATGCAAAACGTGCCATGGACTTTTCTTGGACTTTTTTTAATCTGCATCCTTTGAGTCTGGTTTTATAAACTCAGCATTTTGTTTATTTACTTAAGACAAACAAAACCTTTCTAGCTTGAAAACTTACTTTTTTTTTTTTTTTTTGATCCACAGAGATCCCAACACTTTTTTATTATTTGATGAAAGGTTATTAACTGAGAAGCTCCAGGCAGGGTTGTTGGATTCTGTGGACTACCAGAGATGGTACAGTGCTAGAGCCCATTCTGATAGAGAAATCACAGCTGTATTTCTTAAGATGTTTATGTATTTAGCACTGCTGAGACTAATCTGAAATTCCTTCTTCTTCCCAGTGATCTAATTCCTAGTATGCCAAAGACCAGGAATGGAATTTGTTCAGGAAGTAGGATCCTTGTGCCTTTTTTGTGGATGGAAACCTCTTTGGTGTGTGCAAAGATGACATTTCACAAAGGGTGAATGGCATTGCCAGTGGTTGTGGTCTTCAGCTGCCAGTGCCCCTCTGTCTAGTGTGCATTTCCTAAAAGGGATCATCGATTTTGTGTCGTGCCTTCATTCAGGGCTGTGGAGGTGGGTCATGGGTTTGGGTGGAATGTCTTTAAAACTTTGTTTTCCTGGGCCAGTTTAATGTAACCTAATCTTCTTCAGCTGGTGTTCTTGAGTAGTCCAAATAAATAGAAGTATGTGTTGATTATCTTCGCTGTTAAGAAATTAATTTCATGAGAAGCCACAATTCTTGGTGGAGAGGCAGAACAGGACATTTTTTAGCATGCATCATATCCATATCTTTTTAGAAAGAAGGGTTTGGACCGTCTTTTCTTGTATTTGGTCACACAACCTCCTTGAGGAATTTGCTTACATACTGAAGTAACATTTGAAAATATTTACATCTGTTTAGCTGGCCATAGTGTGATAGATGCATTTCCTGTCTCTTTCAGTGTAAGCATTCTGTTTTCCTCTTCTTTCTCTCTCCTCATTCCTTTCATTTGTTTGTTTAGTTTTTCCTCAGCTGGAACTAGAAAAATAGCAAATATCACATGATCAGACCGTGTAATTCTTGAACCAATTCAGAAACTTCTAACACAGCTGTAATCAAGAGTTGCTGTGCTCCTGTTGGACATGGAGTTCCAGCTATGTTCCAAGGCCAGGGGTTCATCAGCTCATCTTGTTTTCATAGTGTCTTGCACTTAAGGAGATCCCACCTGTCAAAATGACATGATGTATCATGACTCTTCGTATAAAGTCAGATGTGTAAATATATTTGCTGTTACTAGTGTAAGGGAATTGAGTACTATATACATGAAAGCTGCTATTGGCAATGACTGAACAGCAGTAACTGAAGGAGAGCATCATTAGACCTGCTAAAGGTGTCCTCCCATGCCTTTAATTGAACTGGTAGTATTTGCTGTGAGGCTGACAGTCTACAATAAAAGGAAGAGTTGGTGGGGCACTTACTTTCTGATCCGTCTCTTTAACACAAGTTCTTGTCAATTGGGGAAGGAGGGATAGTTTATGGTTTTATGTCAGAGTTTCCCCCCACCTCAAATGGGATTTGTTGCTTTACAAGCTTATGAGATATGAAAAAGCAGATTGAGGACCGGAAGCTGTAAGTGGTGTATAAAACAAAGACCATTCAAAGATCTGTGGCATCTTGATATTAATTAAAATGTAAACAACTGTACACTTTAGCCACTCTGGTTGTGTCTTCATTAGTGTCTTGTTTGGAGCAGGCCTGTAGTTTTGAAGCAAATCGCAGTCCTCAGATAAGATGATCTCAAGCAGATGAAGTTTTCCAATGTTTACAATGCACAATTTAAATTCCATGTGGAAGGCAAAGTGGCAAAATTTGTCTCTTATAGCAGATTTTGTAATATTCAATTACATGAGCTTGGTTGTAGACATTTTTATGTTTTTTTTAAACTCTTGAGTTTGCATTACTAATTTCTTTTTAAAAATAGTTTTAAATTCCAGTCCTCTGAGGGTGACATGCTGTCCCTGATCAAGACATGATGAAAGAATTAACCATGGTGTCGTTTTCATATTTGAGATTAAAAGAAGAGACGCATCTGCCAAATGCAAGCAGAAGGACAAATCTTGTTACTTTTTCTAAATCCTCTGAAAGCAGCTGGATTTTTAACTTATCCAAATGGTGGAATTTTAAACTTGATGTCCACATAACAGTGTAGCGAAGCACAGAAAATCTTAAGAATTCAGGATGTGTGCTAGTCTCACAGGAGAAAAGTCAGAAGAAAAAGCAACTGCATTTTCTTTTTAGTGGAATAAGTCCATTACTTCCTTTTAACTTCACCCTCATTCAGGCACTTGTTTAAAAACTGCAGATGTTTATAGTTACTGACTATGAATTATTTCCCTAATTTATTCTGGATAAATTTATTGTCTTAATGAGGTTTTCCTGCATGAAATCTGAGCAGAATTTAAGGATGCACAGTGTAATGTAATTATATCCTTTCTGCTGTCACCACTAGCTCTTTAACTACCTTAACCCAATTGGTGCTTTCACTGTAACTATAGGAGCATGAGAATTGGGAGCTGGAATTATGTGCTTGGACCTGGATGATGTAGAGGGGATTTGTCTCTTTGTGTCCTAACAGTCACGATAGCCCTGGCTGGCTTACCACAACAGCTTGCTGTGTGATCAGCATAGTCTTGGATTCCAGGCACACTAATGGATCTAGCAAGATGAAGCTATTTACTAGTGAAGCACTAAGAAAATAATGTTGTTTGGTTTGGTGCATAGTTCTGTTGTAAGCAGCATTCAGGATTACAAATGAGGCTCAAACGTAAACTCTTGCAATGCTGTGCACCATGCTTTGGTAATTTGTTAGGCTGCCTTTAAAGGCAGACTGTACCTTCACTAAGACTGCTTCTTCCATGTGGAAATAAGAAACATAATCAAAGAAGCAGCAATATATGAAGGCATGTAGTAAGTACATTGTCATCAAATACAAAGGGGGAATGCTTATTCATGCATTTCAGTTCTGTACACTTCTTTTTGTTACAGAGATGTGTACCTACAAACAGCAGTATGATTTTACAAAGCTGGCTTTGTTTGAAAAAGGTGTAGCTCTCCATGGGGTGCTTCATACCGGATGTTTTGCAGTCTGGTTTATGAAATTGTGAGATGTGTAAATCTGGGGGGAAAAAAAGCCCACAAAGTGAATATATATGTCTAAAATGATGATAGGTTGGATAGCTTCACTTGGTGAATGGTGGACAGCAAGGCTGTATGCAGCTTTGATCTTAATGTTTGGCTTTGAGTTATACCTATTACAGGCTTATTATTATAAGCATACTGGCAATGACAGTTTGTAATGTCTAATACAAAGAAATTAAACAAAATGTGTCCCTAGATGGGTTTAAAATACAGGTGCTGAATTCTAGTTCTGTGTAGCCTGCTGACTCAATATGTGGCTAGAAGAAAGGAGATGAGCAAATGTTGAACGATGGCAGATACATTTGGCTTATGAGAAGTGTTCTGCCTCTGGCACTCTGGATCTCGAACTTCATCACATCCAAGAAATGTTAACAGCTCGGCCCCTCGGGCTTTAGCAGCTCTGACTCTTTGTGGGTTTTGTAATTGACAGCTCCACCATCAGTATGCGGTTGTGATTGGTGTTCTGTGCCAGTGAAATGCATGAGGGTTTCAGCCTACTATTCTTTTGCAGGAACACCATGATGGGCATCTGAGTGACATTTTAATTTGATAATGAAAGTGCCATTAAATCAGAAAAGAGAGAAATGCCTGTGTTTGTGGCACAAGATACTTTGTGTGACCACTGAGGTCATTTGAGAAAGGCCTGCTGTTGAAATAGTTATACAAGTTTGCCAGCAATGACTCACTACGTGGTGGCTGCAGATAAATTCCAGTTGCTTTCTACTTGTTTTTGAAGATTTTGGTATTAGGGGTTTCTGTATGTTGCTTAAACAATAAAAATCCAGTATCACTTTAGTTTATTTGATAAAGATGAAGATTTCCCATATTTCTTCATATCTGAAATGCTGCAACAAGCTGTGGTCTGTACACCCTGCTGTCCCTTTTGCCTAGATCAGAAGAAGATGCATTTTAGTATTAAGACCTTTTTTGTCAGCATAGGCCTTTCCTTCCTCTCCCTGTTTCTAAAGAGATCCTGACTGAGTCAGAACACAAGTGCAAGTCTTTGGAATTAAAACTTATAGATGCTCATCCCTTAGATCCCTGCCCATGGCAGGGAGGTTGGAATTAGATGATCTCCAAGGTCCCTTCCAACCCAAACAATGCTTTCTCATCTTGCTCACTTAAAGTGTATTTCAGATATCTTTAACCCATTATTTGTTAATCCTTTATTTTATTATCTTTATTATCTTTAACCTTTTATTTGTTTAATCCTTTCTTGTTATTCTCCTGTGATGCTATATTGCAACAAATACCTGTCTGTGTTTGCTATTATTCCTCACAGCTGTTTTTCATTGAAGTTAGAAGGAAAAAAAAATTATGATGATTGCAAAAGCCAGTTCATAGCCAGCAGAGTTCCGACTCTTTACTTCTTTTTTCACAGGCCTCCAGAATTGGCATCAAAGTATGCAAATTTCTCAGAGGGAATGTGCAAGCCTGGTTATGCATCAGCGCTCATGACTGTCATCTTCCCAAAGTAAGTAATTACTTTACTGTTTTTTTTTCCTCTCTTCCCCAGTGTCTTCTCATCCTTCAGGGTGGGTGATCTGCAGAGATTGTCTTGAAAAGTGTCAGTCCTCTCTCACTTGATTGGTTCAAGGGGAGACCAGTGTTGAAAAACTGGACTCTTTGAGTGGTCAGTGGCAATGGCTTAATTGGATGTCAGTCTGACTAAGAGCTTGCTCAGAGTAGAGTTCTGTGTGTTGAATAATAAAACAAATTGTATTGTTAGTGCATGATACGGATGTATGGTCAAGCTCCCTGCTGGTACCAGGTGATGCAGTCCTTAGGAGGCTTCTGTCATGAAGCGGCAGATTAAATTATCTGGAGTAGTAAAGTGTGGTCTTTTTATATTTGGGAGAAGAGTGTGACGTATCCATCTGGTGCCTGTAGACTTTGTGGTACTGTTTTCCAAAGAGTCTAAAACATGTTATTAACAAGTTGTGTATCTTGCTCTGTTGAGAAGTTATTGTTAGCTAGATGCAGTACTGTTTGATAGCTCTCAGAAATGAGGAATGTAATTGTAAGAGATCAACCAAAACTTACCTTTAAATTTGGCTTGTAACTTTAGAGTCCAGTGGGGCTTCTGCATTTCAAGGAGTTTGTAGGATTGCTGGAAGAGAGTTCAGAAGATAGATTGGCAAAAACATTACACTGTTGAAGCTCAAGGATCTCAGTTTGGTTCCTCAAATGGAAAATTTGACCAAATGATTATTACGACCTTTGTACAAGCTTCTAATGCATGTGCAAAGATGTTCTAGTGCAGTGACCTCTTTGGCAAATGAGGTTGTAGATTTTTTAACACAGCTGGTACTTTTCTAGAAGATGTATTTTACATCTTTTGATGAAGAAATTTCCATGATTTGCACATAGAGAGATTAGATTGACCATGGCTTTCAGGCCAAGCCTGAAATTGTTGATATCTTTTTTTCTTTGGTTTTGGGTTTTTCTTGTTTTTTTACGAGCATGGTATCTGCAAACTTTAAAAATAAAAACCTGACATTGCCTTGTAAGCAGCAGATATTACAGCCAGCTCTTAAAAACGAAACGCTAAGTGTTGAGAACATGTTCTCCATCACCACTGTAAACAAAAAAATTATCAATATCATCTGTGAATTGTGAAACTCTGGGTAGAATATAAATAAATACTAGAACTGAAGGTTGATACATTATTGTCCTCTTCTTTTAAGAACTCTGAGTGCTTTTAAATGTGTTTGTGTACATGCTAAATGTAAATAGTACAGAAGAGGGAATATAAGGTGATCTGCGGTAAGATGTCTGAAGCTAAAGCCTTCCTTTCTGTATACAGCTGAATCCTAATTGTCCTTTTCAAGGCATGGCTGTTGGTACATATTGATTCTGCAGAGGTAAATTATATATGCTGAAGAAGGAGGACTGTTTAGTACAGTTATTAAGGCCAGAAAAAAACCTCAACACATTAATAGTCCCCTATGCTGATTTGTTTCATGACACAGGACAAGATGTTTTCTTTCAGTAAATTCATCATGGATCACAGACTAGTTAGCTTGATTTAAAGATTTCAGTTAATGGAGAATCTCATCATAATACTTTGTTACATTATTCCTATGGATAAATGCATTATTGCAAAAATATTAATCTTTAATTCAAAGTATAATTAAGACTTTGGCTTCAAGAAGCCAGCTGGAATCTGAGGTGTTACTTATTCTCTTCCTCCGTACCTACTTGCAGATCACTGTTCAGTCATCTCCCAGTAGCTAGCTGCATTGAACTAAGACCATGCAAACATGTTGTAACTTGGCCTTAGTCTAACTAGGTGGTGGTTGTCTTGTTCATACGTTTAAAAATTAATACTCATGGCTCTAAAGGGGATTTATGGTCAGTTGCTTCTCTAACATGAACCCTAAACATTATTAAGGTTGACAGTCTTTTCCAGGATGTCCTTTAATTCTTTATTAATTTAATTCAGTGTTGGACATTTCATTATTTTACCTAGGATTGGTGTTAAGACTGGCAGACCAGTAGTCCTGCAAAGAACTCCATGTTACATTTAAGATTCTTTCTCTTCTGAAACTTCTCTTAGTCTCCAGGAGTTATGCAAAGTTAATATTACCAAGCCACATATCAGCATTTACTATATTTAGAACACTTAAAGTCAAATTAGCTTGCCTGTTGATGTAAGGATTAAGCTGCACAATTTCTTTTATTCTGGCTTTTGGTTTCAGTTGCTCGCATCATTAGGAAAGCATCATCTCTGTGTCTGACATTTTTTAGGCTTGGTCTTTGCCATAAAACGTGTGGTTTTGTTGTTTTTTTTTTTTTATTATTTGGATAAAGTCGGTTTGGCTGTTTTCAAGCATGAATAAAATGAATAAATGTTTTCCCATTCTAAAGGTTCCTGACTTTTTAGTGCAATTTTAAATGTAAATAGGCAAAATATGATGGAAATAGTTGAGATAGAATAAATATTTTTCAGAGGATGTAACTCTTCTTGGTAAGTGCTTCTTTAATGGTAAAAATGCGAGTTCAGACTTTACCAAGCACAAGGGAAGTGCTAAACAGATTGAAGAGCAATGCCCTGAGAAATCTCAAAACGTGTTTGCTGGTAAGGAAATACCAAAAGGGCTTTATTTTCATGAGGTCCTCAGTTGGTCAGTTCTCATTCTAGCAATGCCTTCATCAATAATCCTAGCTGGAAAAAATCCTAGGTTAAGTGTGCAGATGATGCACTTATTGGAGAGGACTAAATAAGGGACTGATTACTTACAGAGAACAATCTGGATTGCCTGATTTAAATGTCCTCAGTCCAACAAATTATATGTTAATACAGCCAATATGAAATAAGACATCTGGGAGGAACAAATGCAGATTATATCTTTATGATAGAAAATTGTCTTGGAAGCAGACACAGAGAAAGCTTCTTGTAATCTCAACAAAATATTGTAGATGAAATGCTATTTCAGCTTCACATGGATGCACATAAGTTGGGAAATTCTGTGTAGAGTACTGACTTAAAAACCCCAACACCCCCAAAACCCCACGACCTAAGACTTCTAGAATACTATGGCCAATTTTGATGGTGAAAGTCCAAGAAGGGAGGGGAATAGGAGATTGAAGAAAGCCACAAAAATGAACAAGGACTGGCTGAAACAGTAAAGTAAACAATGCTCCTAGAAATAAGTCATCTTTCTGAAGCAGGAGTTGTATCCAAATGAGGGGAATAGGAAAGAGCATTAACTTTGGCAAGTTAAATATAAACCATAATGAGGTAGGCCAAAAAAAATGTTGAGGAACAACTTTATAAAGACATTTAAAAAAATTAAAGCTTTTTGTCCAACTGTCAAAAGCAGAAGGCCTGCCAGAGATCCCAGTGGGCTGATAGATGGTCATAATATTACATGTGGGCTAAGGGAAGGTAAAGCCACAGCAGAGAAGTTATTTGCATTGCTGTTCACTTCAGTACAGTTCCCACATGGAGCCTTCCTTTCTGGGGGCAGGCTAGGGGAAGCTGACAGAAGGTTGACGTTTTGGAACAAACAGGCACAATGAATTGCTAGGAAAAAGTTCTCACTTTGTGAAGAGCTCAGTGGTGAAGTTGCCGAGTTACACATGGTTGTGTATAATCATTGCTTAATTGGCAATTAGAATGGAAGAATGAAAAGCAGTAAATGTGTCAGGCTTTTCAAGAGGGGCCCATGGAGTATCTGGGGAAACTGTAGACTAGTAGCGAGCCTGGTTTCTGTATTAGGCACCTCAGTAGAAACTTGAAAAAAAAAATAGGATTAGTGTCCATTCACAGGAATAAAGGCGATGATAGAGAGGAGTCAAGTTGTCTTCTGCAGCAGGAAGCCCTACCCTGTAAATCTGCTCATGCTGTTTGAATGACTGGATGAGCATTTGATAAAGGGGATTGAGCTAATACACTATGCCTGGATTTCTTTTTAAAAAAACTAAACCAAATCACCAAAAAAGCCAACCAAACACTTGGTGTTTCATAGACTTTTGGGGAAATCAAACTGGTTTAATCCTGTTGTGAGTAGGTAGTGACTAGGTAAAGACTGGAAACTGTATGGAAAAAATAAGAAGACTGGACAGTACAGGGACATTACCCCTGGAGTCCCGAAAAGAATGTGTGCTGGGATCTCTGCTTTTCCAAGTGCTCATAAACTGTCTGGGATGGAGGATGAATAATAAAGCACTGACACATTTTTCCAGGTCACACGATCAAAAGCTGGCTGTGGGGGATGTCAGAGGGATCTCACAGCGCTAAGTAATGGGGCTACAAAATAGCAGGCCAAATTCAGTTCTCATAGATGTAAGGCAGTGTTTGTTGAGAAGCTTAATCTGACAGCATGTACCTATTGGTGGACTTAGTTATGCCTTGAAAATTGAGAAAGAGATGTTGGAATTGCTGTGGATGGTTCCGTGGCTTATTGATCAGCGATGGCTAAAAGACTGTGGATATATTGGGGGATAAATACAAACCCCACTCCCCTCACCCCCAAGAATATATTATGACACTGTAAATTCCCATGCCTCTATCATCAACAGATGTGCTGTTGAAACAGATCTAGAAGAATTAGGTATATATAGTGGTAATAAAGACTAAACAAAACCATGGAACTATTTCCATGCTCAGAAAGACTGAATAGACATGGACTTTCCAATTTGAGGTAGAGCAAGCAGAAGTGAATGGCATGGACAGGATGTTTAAATGATTGCTTCTGTCAGTACAAGATTTGGAAGTCTTAAAAGTAAATATTGTGCACCAGGTTTAAAATAAAGAGAAGTGCTATTTCATGCTACTTCCAGTTACATTTTTCTGAGAATGAGTTCCAGAATGGGCAAAAGATTAAAAAAGAAAAAAGAGAAAAAAAAAAAAAAGAAAAATAGGTACAGTCCGGTTCTATTGACTGTAAATATTTAGAAACAGGCATGGAAATCTCAGAGATACAGGAGGCTGGAACCTAAATGGATGTTGAGGAGAGAGTGTAGCAT